CGATTATTTTCTTGACCGAGACATGAGTAAAAATTTGGCTGATATCTAGTTTCCCAGAGAATAATCAGGAGAACAAGGCGGATTCGTTTACAATCTTCAGTTGTGCATTTTGTCGACGTACAATAATTAAAAAATTGTGATAGGTACAATGACAGCCCAAATCACACAAATAAGTCTTTCATAACTAACTTGCTTTCGTAGTTACTATGGGAACAAAAACTGGTTTCTATGTTTTTATGTATATTTGTATTAAAAACTATGCTGGAATATGTTTTGAGTCTTTCAATGAAGCGTTTTTTCAAAAAAACTCGATTGGAGCGCCAAGTTATTAATATTTAAATACTTTTTTTCGATACATCTATGTTAAAATGTGAGTGTGGTCAAATAGCGACGAGACATAGACCAGAAAACAACAAGTTTAACGCAGAATTACTGTCGAATACAGAAGGAAATTGGATGAATGAAATACGATTATAAAGGATTATATTTTTGTCCATTTTACTTTGTATATCGACAATTTGACTATACTCCAGCAAACAGGAAAGAATGGCTTATCTAGTTGATGAACAACAACAAACTGGAAGAAACCCTGCTGGCAGCAAAGGTGTCAGAGTATCAAGCGGAGCATTTAGTGTCGAAGATTATATCTATCGTGCACGGCTGGCCGAGAAAGCATTACGCTATGAAGATATGTTGACACAGATGCGAAACGTTCTCGAATTAAAAAAGAAATTATCTGTGGATGAGCGTAATCTACTAGTTGTAGCATATAAAAATGCTGTGACATCCAGAAGAACAGCTATCCGACATTTATCAACCTATTGCAAAAAGCTCGATGATCAACGTTTTTGTCAAATTTGTGAATCTTTTAGAGAAGAAATAGCCACCGAGCTTTGGAATCTCTGCCAGGAGTTGTTAAGTACGTGATCTGATATGCACATTTTTGTACTAAATAGTGTTTTCAGACATGCATCAAACGCAAATATTCGGATTCGGGTTTAGGTCGGTGTATGCATACATATTTCATCAGGCATATTTATAGCTCCAAGTGAATCCCAAATTGCATTTAATTTTTGTAGATATCGTACGAGATTATTTGATTCCCAATGCAAGAAGTGATGCTGAACAAATCGCGTTTTATGAACGTATGAAGGGAGATTTTATTCGTTATGGTAAGTAATATAGATGTGCCTGACGCCGAATGTGAAGACTCGAAAAGGGTTAACATGCTTATGGGGTAGGGCACAAGACATCGTAATAGTTGCTCTCCAGTGATCATTAGCCCTACATACTCACAACCAAAATGTATTTTAGAAATTGAAATTGCTCCGCCTGGATTAAGAGATTCGCTGCATAATGAAGCAAATAATTGTTATTTGACAGCTAAACAATTAGCTGAAGAAAACTTGCCAGCTTATCACCCTGTTCGAGTCGGTATTATGCTAAACTATTCCGTCTTTTGTTTTAATTCAAAATCGAAAGGTGATCTGGCGTTAAAAGTGGCAAAGAACGCCTACGAAGACGCATTGGCTGATTATGATCAATTACATAACGAACAGATGCGAACAGATGCTCATGCACTAATGAAAAGCTTACAAAATAATATGAAACATTTTTCGAAAGGAAGCTCAGAAGTTGAAGAAACATAGAGATAACATTTATTCTGTGTTTTGCAACAGTATATTTTCATAACCATTTCTGTACTCGTAAACCACTGCTTCTTGTTTCAAATCATGTGTCACACCGCTTTTACGCGGAGATCGTACGCGCCCTACTAATTACATGGAAATACGAATGTCGAAGTATGCCGAACAAAAATCTAAGACAGGAAGTTAAAGCGACCATTAACACCATACAAGATTGTTTTTGATTCTACTTCAGTTTTGTCTTTTAGCTAGTGAAAAACTGAAAATATGCGTAAAGAAATGTTTCTTC